TGTAATCATTTAGGAGAGGGAATTCTAAAACTGAAAGAAAAAAACAGACAAAAGAAATGTATCTACCAACACTCAGCCACCTGAGCACTTCCAAAGTAGGCTACCTGTCTACCTGCAGATAGGATTATGGGCAATTGCCTACCCATGCAATTTATTTCTTCCTCAGATGATTCAGGTAGTGCCTCCTACTCCAACGCCTACTCATCTTCACTAGTAAGCAAAGACATATGGAAAGAGGGTTGATGCACTGTGCATAATTGCAAGATGGTTTTCCAGCTCAGCATGCCATCTCATGAATGCCTTGTGCTTAGGATTTTTGTCAGCCATTTTGGTTCATCTTTCACAGAAAGAAATGGACAGCAAGCAGTGATTTACAAGAAAAAGCAGTCATGAAAAATACTTCTGAGCCTGCCTTTCGCCAGCACCTACTTGCCACATTTTGGACACCATCAACTTTTCCAGTAAGAGGTTTGATATTACTCAAGCACAGTTAAGGTAGATTTTAGTTTCATTTATTAATACTAAAGATTAAATAACACTTTAGGATTGTTCAAGTCATTGATGCAACAAGCCACGGGGCCGGATCCTGAGATGCTCACCCTTAACACACTGGCATCTTTATGACTGCACAACTCAATAGAAGTAATGTCTCATATTCAGGTCAGATTCTGGCCTGGTGATACCCGACCAAAAAAGTATATATATATATACATATATATGAAGCGGTTAATAGACAAATCACTTGTGCTGAGCAGCACCATGTGCGATGATTGACACTAAGTACAGTTGGAAGCAGGACGTCACTGATACTCACTTGATATTTGAGCAGGAAATCATTTACTATTGATTGTTATTAAGCAGACACAGTTGTACTGAACTGGTGCAAAATGATCTGATACACAAAAAACCCCACCATTAATCAAGATAATATTAAGTGAATTTAACTGCATACTTTAAACAATTCTTCTCATTTGTTTAGGCCTTCCACATCACTCTACACAGCCTAGTCACACAAGATACAGTTTACTGGTGAGATTAATGCTGTTTTCTATATTTACAAAAAGTATCATGTGTGGACCCTCACCTCAGCAAATGACTTTATACAGTGGTTTCTGCTAAAAGGTTGTTTGACAACTGAATCCACACAACTGCCACACAGTTAATTCTTTTTCCCTCTAGGGAAAAATTAACATACTTCAAGCATCAACATCTGATAAAGATTTTAGAAGTCTATCTTTTTAAGTATGTATCTTTGGATTACCATACTATATCTTTTTGTTTCACCATGGGATCATATTCAGCCTGTACATGGCTAAGTTGGGTATTACAATTAGTATAGTGTCCAGGTTCAAGAGAATTGCATCCCCTTCAAATTGTCCATAATCCAGAGCTTTCAGACCTGACTCCATATGCAGGCAATGCAGAGAAGTAATCATGATCCTTAATTTAAGCTCATAATGCTTAAGCAGCCCAAGATAGTATTCCCATTTATGTTTTGCATTGCACAGACACATTAAGACCTGAACTGATCCTATCTATCATAGGCAACTCTGTGAGGTAGCTTAGGAACACCGTCTCCTTTTGATCCTTGTCTCACTAAAAAAGACGGAGAGATATTTCAAGAGTGTAACTCCAATCACTTCAGACCTCAATCAAGTTTGGAGTTGCCAGTCTCTTCCTATGGACTACAGGGGAGCTTGAGCAACTGCACTACTATTTCAGACACCTCGGGTGGGTGTTTAAGATGAGGTAAACTAAATCCAGGACAAAAAGCTCCCGGAGCTCATATCCTAAACACACTAAGCAGACAAATGAAGTCAGAAATGAGATATTGTTATGTCCATTGCATATGAAGAAATGAAATACAGAAATGGTAAGTAACTTGTCCAAAATCCGAATAGGCCCTTAAAAAAAAAAAAAATGGTTCTCAGTTCTATCAAGCCCTGGTCTATTATCGTAATTGTAAGATGCTTTCTTATTATATGATAATATTTTATATATTTTATATATATAAAATAGAATATATATATATATCACATAATGATCTGTGGTTTCAATTTTAGCAACATCTTTGACTAACAGGAAAAAAATATGATTTTATTTCTATCACATATTTTAAAGAAAAAAAAATGCAAAAAAAAAATGCAGTAAGAGGTTTTCCTACATTATTTCTAAAGGAAAGACCTGGCTGAATCTTCCAGCTTTAGAGAAAGGTCTGACAGAGTTTAAAGCCAAACAATAAATGAGTTAATTAATGAATTAATTTTTCCAGTAAGAGGTTTGCTCCTGAAATGGCTGCCACATTTTCAGCTACCCACATCCAAACCTAGCCTTTTATCTCAGTTCTTCTTCCTCTTTCAGTGAAATTTCACATCACCTGGTCCCACAATATCACATCATCAACATTTGCATTCCTTCATCTCAGATAGCTCTCTGTTCTCAAAAATAATATGACCTCCTTCCCTATCACATAAATTCTTGGAACTATACCTTATGCAATTTTATTCTTCACCAACTGTCATCCCCACCTCTCCATCTTTTGTCCGTCCCCAGGCATCGGCAGTCACCACTTTCCCAAGTTATGCAATCCACTAATCTCTACTCTGCCAGTGTCTTCATTTCCTAATAAAAATCATGGTGCTAAAATCACTGCTCTCCTTTGTTCTCTAGCCATTTATCTTCCTTTGCAAGTCCCTTCCCTCCCCCTGACAAACTGCACAAGTTTCCCAACGTCTCCTCCCTCCTTCCAACCTCTCTCTCAAATGCCCCATTTGCATGATCCTCCCAGCTTTCTCTTCCCTTATTCACCAAGTTACCAAGTCTCCTCATTTGTCATTCACTTTACAGTGCATTGCTCCCTCAAAGCATCTTAAGCATATTGCAATAAATATATTTTAAATTGCCATTAATAAGAAACGTGAATATTCAACCTATGAATTTCACACAGCTCAACACCTATTGTCTCTTCCAGCTAAGTCTATTGTAAGGTCCATGGCGCAGTAATATTTTCCCCCTGTATTTTTTTTATAGTACCAAGTACTCTTCTGGAGTCCAGCAAATAATAAAGCTGTTACGTATCTTAAAGTAAAGTGATAACATAATAATAATGACCATACGCATATGTAGCAATTTTTGTCCAGATGGATCCCAAAGCACTGTATACAATTTGCCAATTAACTGTACAAAACGAAGTATTTACATAGGAATCATTTCACCCACTAACAATGGCAAAATGCCAGCCATGCTTTAATTGCCCAGAGTTACACAACACAAGTTTAAGACAGGAAGTAAAGTTTCACATCATATTCCTAGGGGAATTAAGACTGGTGTATAATAATTACCAGATCAGGCTGTAAAACGTCAATACATTTTCATGTATTACACTTTTTGCCAAACTTTCAGAAACTTTCAAACCATTTTTATCCGGTGAAAGAGCAGAGCACATAAACACACTCAAAATTCCAAACATTTTAAAGATTTTGCAATTCGAAAAAATTCTGGTGTACTGCTAAATAACAGCAATCAAAACTGGAGACCAGCCAGGACCTGAGCCTATTCTTTAACAATGGCCGTATGATTTTACTGATTGTAAACTGGGACTTCGGATGACAGGAAATGCAATGTGGTGGAAATCTGAAAAAGCAACCTAACAATGCACTCACCTCTCCAGATTCTAGCTAGGATTTATATTAATTAGTTTAATAAAAGCTGCTCCTGCTTTTTTGTACACACTGACAAATTCACAGGCAGGCATTTCCCATTAATATTTAAACTGAAGTTCCATAAGTAAAAGTAACTCTTCTTTCTCAAAACTTGGCATCGTTCAAGCTATTTGGAATATTTTCACTAACTTTAGCATAGCCAGAGTTTCACCCACAGTCCATGGGCTTGAGGACTGAATAATGAAAACATATTTATGAATAAATTATTCACTGATTGCTCAAAATTTATGAATAATTTGGAGAAGAGTATTCAGCCATATATAAAGCTGGTCAAAGAGGGGCAAATGTGCTTCTGAGTAATTTACTCAACAATTAATACCCAAAAAAAAGTATTCTGAAATGTCATTCAAATAGCTCTAGACTATAGTAACTTGATTTCCCATTTTAAATGACTCAGTGCGCCTTTTCGAAAGGTGCCAGGTTTTCATCCACACTAAGCTTTGTTTCATTATTTGAGATCCTCTTGTTTCTATTTTTCCCTATGCTCTAGCAAAATAACCTCTTTTTCCAGTACCACCGACACTGTTGTAGGCCTGACTTGCTTTGACTGAAAGCCCACTACGTAACTATGGTACTGGGCTGTAACTCTCTCTCCCTTCGCCAGGAAGCCTGAAGTGAAGAAAAATGAGCATATATACTTCTAATATATACGCTCAGAGGGGAGCAGAGAGGGAATCCGCCTCAAAACGATGATATGAGTCAGAGGAAATGCAAAAGAGGTGAGACATAGCAGGTAGCCACATTCCTCCATAGCCCCTCATCCACCCACGCTGGCGCTGGGACCCGCGTGCGTTTGGAAGGACCTGGGAAGGGGAGCACGCAGCTGAAAATTGAATTTCCATTCTCCAGCCACTATCTGATTCATCACAACCACTAGCCAACTAGGCGGCTGTTGAAAAGAAACCCTGCCATTTGCTGTAATTATGTTTTATTAACTATATCTACATTAAATGCAGGAAATTCATCACCCTCTCAGCATTTTGTTATCATTGTTTTTCCAATATGCATTTAAAACGCATTGTTGCGCTCCAAATGTTGGCTGGTATTACTGACTCAATGGGATTTTCTTAGCACCTTAAGTACTGCATAATGGAGCACCTTGTCTTTCAACAACTCGATACACTTATTTTTCAAATGCAACTTAAACAATAAAGGTCAAATTTAAAGACACAGCAAGACAAACAGTTCTGCTTTACTTTTTTAAGTTACTCACTAGCACTGCCTGAGCACTGTAAACTGCCAGAGCTAAACAAAAATGAACTGCTAAGGAGAACTCACCTGAAAAGGAGGCAGAGGTGGAAGGAACGCTATATGGCAATCTGATAAACACGATCTCCATCTTCTTCATACACAAGGTATGCTGAAATCAAGGACTTACTTCTTGTGCTCTAAGCAAGAACGAAGGCAGTCAAAGCGAGGAGGAAGAAGCAGAAAAGATCAGGCCATAAGGTTGGATAATGGAGATTCTAAAGCCCCCCCCCCAAAAAAAACCAACACTTTTCATTCAAATCTGCTTTAAAATAATGGAATATAAATTAGGTGCAATATTTTCTTAATTTAGAATTTTACAATATGATCTTATTTGGCATCTACAACATATAATCATCACCAGAATATAAATGCTATAATCCTCATGACAATGTTTATTCTACCTACTCTTTCTATTGCTATTGTGGGATGATTCTAAGAAATCGTACCACACCAAGTACTATTTTTATTAATAAAGATAAAGCATAGCTGAATATTGCTTAGTGAAATCTTATTTAACGGAATAAGTAACTGCTAGAAATGATGAATATACACAATAATGTGCATCCTTTCATTATCATACAACATACCCTTTTATACCGTGCAATATAAGTTATCAAAGAGCTACAGGCCCTGTATCAATTGAAAGAGATTTATTTAGCAAAGCAATTATTTCAATAGTAAGCATATTTTTTTAATGCTTGGACTATTTGTTGGGCTGTGATCTTAGAATACAACAGACAAACCAGGTCTGGAGCAGGAAAGAGTCCAAGACAAAAAGGAGGTGTTGTGGTTTATGGTGTAAGTAACTCCTTCAGTGGCATTTATCCATCTGAGTCAGATCTGAACCCGCACCGCGCCACAGACAAGATACTGCTGCAGGTGCTGTCTTTCACAGGAGACGTATAGCCCAGATACTAGCCTACATGAAACCAGCAGCATGATGAGCCACGGCTGAGAAGGAAAGAGCAATCCAGGGAAGCCGCAGTTCACCCAACAGCCCCGAGGCCTAACACAACCCATGCAGGATCACCAGTGGACCGACCTCACTGATGAGCGAGATGGGAAAAGAGAGGAGACGGAAGGGATTTGTGAGGAAGACAAAACGGAAACTGAATCCTGGCAAAAATAACCTTTCGGAGACCCTTGTTTCTAAAGTTAGCAGTCAGTTTTTATTTTCATATTTAATTTGGATACTGCGGGACCCGTGTCTCACAGAATCACAGACTCACAGAATCGTTTAGGTAAACGATTTAGGTCTCCCAGGCCTGGGAGACGTTTAGGTCTCCCAGGCACAACCTGTCGCCACACTGATTTCAAAAGCGTTAAAGTGGAATACATTTGTTCTGCTGTTTGCATTTTAAGTTGCCACCATCTCCTCTTTATACTTCTAGCATCCGACTGAGATTTTCTCTTGAGAACTTACTTCAAATTGCCGCACATTAGACCATCCAAGTTACCAACCATTTAACCACCCTCACCCCCTGCAAGAAAAAAAGTCTTTGTCTTTTTCCCTTCCCTCTCCAGCAGATCAACGATCAGGTCCCATCCCTCCTCTACTGAAATGATCCCTCTGCAAATATCCCGTTACCTAATATTTACCACACTGTGGTGCAGGGTCTGAAAGGTAAATTTGAAAAGAGTCGATTTCAGCCCTCATAAACAACTTAACTAAGAAATGCTTCAGGAAGAGCAGGCACGTAGGATTCTTTAGCTATAGCAGGACTACAAAAGCCGTTCACAACCCCCTTGTTGACACTGGTTTACTTCTTCAGGACTCTGCTTGCTAGTAAAACTGCAAAAGGATTAGGCAAGCAGTTTCACAGAAATCGCCATAATATATTTTATGACCTTACTCTTGCTGACCTGATGCAGTCAAATTCCTATTCAAGTCACTGCGTATCTGGAACACAAAAGATTCTTTCTAAAATAGAAGAAAGGGGGAAAAGAGAGAACAAATTTACACCAGCAAGCAAACTGGTAACAAGGAGTTGAATTCAAACTCCAAAACTTCAACAGTAAAAGTATAAAGGAGTAATGGAAAAACGTATCCACACACGCGAAATAAACCATTCCTACCAGCTCACGAATCCCAGGTGGCACCGTGCCCTTCCCTGCAGGAAGCGGTACGGCAGACCTACCTACTGGCAGGTAACGTTCCAGAAGTATTTTTGCAACAGCAGTTTTGATATCACAGCAGCTGCTGCAGCCTTCTCCATTCAAGTTAGCAAGGTAAAAACAGCTCTGATAAAATAGAGTTTGCATTTACTTTCCCTGGTAATGTTTTTAAACTACATTTCTTCCAGAAGACAAATGCAGCTGTACTCATTCTAACCAGGAGACCTCTCTGGAACAGAACAAAGGATCTTTGCAGTAGGCTAATGTGCCTGTAAAGGACGAGTATCAGGCATGAGTCTTAGTCCCCAGGTTTGAAAGAGTTCCCCCTGTTAAGACTGGGGGTTATTCAGCACATTCAGTAATGCTAAGGCATTTTCTAAAAGTAAAACACATCTACAAGTGAGGAGTTTGCCTTAGTGAAAAGGCCAGGACTGGGCTCTTGTTTCTATCCTCTGTTCCTGCTTCAAGGAAGCATTTTAGTGCACAGTCCTACTACATTACACACTTCATTTAAAAAAACAAAACAAAACAAAAGCACCACCTCCCCCCCCCCCAAAAAAAAAAAACCACTGTTCCATTTTGCTTTCATGAGTAATTTCTATTTTGTTTGTGATTTTTAAGCAGGAAATCCTTGGCACTGATTTTACAGATGACACTGAAAAAGGTTGGGCTTTTTTTTTCTCTCTCTCTTAAAGGAAATAGGATTAGAGGTAGAGGCTTTTATATTTTACCACTTCTGAGACATATGTTCTGCTCTCCCACCAGTTATGAAGTGATTACTGGAGTGGCACAAACAGATTTTTTTTAACAAAGTGAAGGTGTGATTTTCTCAGGTTCTGTGAGAACATGCACACTTATTTTTACCAACCCAATCTGTTTTCCAGTAGTTTAATGTCCGCAGGGTTTATAAGGCTATCTTAGGTGTCAGATTCATCACAGCTTGCAGGGTGTTACCTGACTGTGGAAGTTTGCAGAAAAAGACATGGAGAAAGTAGACATAATACAAGACTCAAAGTAATTTGGAGACTGATTTAAATATACAAAAAGATTGACCTTTTTGCTGTTTTCCCATATATGGTTTTCTAAAGCTCACAAGCCCTCATATCACTGCTTAACTTTAGTCATTTTGGAAATCTCACTGTAGTGGGGGAGGGGATCCATTCCTAAATAATTTACATATACAACTTGACTTTTACAATTATTATTTTAACTCCCCAAAAAGGAATTTGACCTTATAAACACTTACTGCCAGGAACAGTGTTTCCCACATGAAATGTTTAAGAGGGGCTTGATTTCTTGCACCTTGCCTATTTAAGTTGGCTATTAAATGTTATCAGAGGAACAAATGGAGAGTTTTGATTTGGTATCTGTTCACAGTCAATTTTCAGGTATATCAGTCCTAGACAAGGAGACTTCCCCACAAGGCAGTGCAGGGAAAGGTCCACACTTGAACCAGACTACTCACCTATTCCAGATTCTTGGCACAAAAAAACTATGAACACACAGACAGAAGATGACACTTCTCCAAGAGACTCTTTAAAGTTAAATTTTGGTCTGTTACACTGACACAAATTTAGAATAACCACTTCAAATGCAGTGAAAACACTCAGGACCAGAGGAAGTGAGAAAAAATTTGGTGAGGACTGGACAAGGAAGTAGTCAGTTAACATTTAATCTGTGATGAAAATCCTCAGGTCTTGTGTCCGTATACAGAATTTACATTGTTTTAAAAAACAGTTTATCTGAAAATCCCTTTATGGACTTATTTCAAGCCACCTATGTATCAGCTTAGCTTGTAAATCTATCAACTTTAAACTATAGATGTCAGCCGGGTTGCAATCCGTACACTTGTGTTTCTGCAAATTTTTGAAGCAACTTTTAGTCTTTTTGAATAGAATGCTTTTTGTTAAGTCACCAAAACATTACAGATAGACTAAAAGTCTTACATAGGACAATATGCCTTAAATGCTTCGTGCTCAATGGCTTTGCCTGCTCACTGCTATTAAGGCAAGGAGTTTTGTAGGATATTGTGTTGATACAGGACAGTTCAGCCCTCGCAATTAAGATTTTCCCAAGAAGATCCTTGGGTCAGGATCAAAGTTATTAGTCCCTGACAAAAGCCTTAGCTGGTCCCACTAACCACGCTCTGTAGGATTTGTTGTTGCTGTTGCTTGTTATTTGGGATGAACGGCACCCCCTCTGTGCTAAACCAGGACCTTCAGGGCAACCTCACAGAAGTTAATCTGGCCACATTCACGTGAGCAGCAAGGTTCTTTGGCCAGCAGCGTAGGTGGTGGAGACCCTATGCACCATACAGACACTGGGGACTGCCTGCTAACTGCCCCAGTCGCGCCTCTTGAAATGCAGCTTTCAGAAAAAATAAAAAATCGACTGTAAAGTTCAAAGGAAAAAAGGACCTGGGATTTGAAAGGTAACTTCTTCGTCAGCACAGCAGCCTAGAAAAAATTCTACGCAAACCTAAAGAATGAATAATTATTTTGTAGGAAACGTCTGGAGATGGGCTTGGTCATTTTATCTACAGACCCCTCACCAAGCCAAAGGCATTTCTGACTTCAAAGTTCTTCTCACAGCTTTGCTTTCCCCTGTTATAGTATTTCCTACTTCTGAAACAGCTCCTCAGCGATGGCATCAGTGATGTTTCACTAGTCTGTTTTTCTTCCCCACCTAAACTCCTCGTCTCCTCTTATCCCACTTCTTTCTTTCCTGCTACCTTTATCAAATCTGTATCCACTCATTAGACAGAGCTACGAGCAAATAAACACTCCCCTTTTAAAACTTACTATGTATATCATATTATCCCAGAACTATTAAATGGTCATCTCAAACATCTTGCATGAATTGTACTAAGTTATTTTTATTTATTTTTACTATCTGCTTAATACCATCATTAAAAACCACAAAAGAAATTAAATGGCAATAATCTATGGCAATGCAAAATGTTAAGTGTCTGCTTTAGATCCACAGAGGCAAGAAAATTAAAAGAGGCTTAAACTCAGAGCTA